ATACGGCAAAAAAGTTTATAAACCGGCTGTTGACTTCTGATTGCAAATTACCACCACCACACTGTATGTCATATTCGACTACTTACCTTTTCTGCCTCCCCCCCCCCCCCCGCCTACTCTCGTTTTTTTCACTTTGTTGTTCCTCCTCCCCTCTGTGAAGCCTGAAGTCAACTAAAGGGCTAATGATAACTATCAAAACTCCTGCCATTTGATATAAATAAATATTTATAAGTCAATTTGATGTCAGGTGTATAATAATTGCCGTGAGCCACTAAACATAGCCGTGATTCCAATGCATTTACAAAATGGTTATTTAAAAGTGTAGACAGCAAAGGACATGGATGCGATTTTTGGACCGAAAATCACACAACAGGTCTTTATTTTTATGGTATTAGAGCATGTCACGAAAATATTTCTGATCGATTAATATGGAAAGAGCATTGGTGTGTAGACTCACTAATTTGCCACAACCTATCGATCTTATCATTCACTTTTCTTCAAAAGTGGTCCTCAATGAAACATTAGCGACCCTTTTACGAAGCTATTCAAATCATAACATAGCACAACGCCCCTTAGTACTTTTGATTAATTTACAATGTTAAAGACCTCTTAATGATGAATTATCTTTACTATTCTTCGTCCTTTCAATCTTTTAACTTGTAGAATGAATGAAAAAAACATTACGCGAGTGCGCACACCTTTTATAGCCCCATAAATAACATTAGCATATCATTAAACGATAAGTCTTTTCTCTCTACTTCGTTACATCACATACTATCACAGTTTTTGTAGCATAAATCAGATTTTTAAAAGTCTTCTTCGCAAACAATTTAACATTTTTTAAACACCACCCATTCTGAGAAGATTGTAGACCGTAAATTGAAACGTGTCTTTTGATAACATATAAATAATATAAAAATAATTTATCAGACATAACTACCTTGTCACTTGTGCCAAAAGTCTATCTACGTGTACTTACTGTTAGTTTAAGACGAGAATATATATATATATATATATATATATATATAGCTGTATACTTTTGAGTATGTTAATTAGTTACCTGAAGATCTTTCCAGTGATTAGCCATTTTCAGTCGACGCAGTCGTTAACCTTGTGCTTATTTTTCAATTTCAGGTTTGCCCACTATCCAGTCAGCTCACGGGTTCAGTTGTGGGCAAATGGCAAGAACATCCACTTGTTAAGTTCGAACAAGACGGTGTTAACTATTCCATTTCTACGGATGATCCTACTGTTACTGGACAGTGGTTGCAAGCTGAAAAACGCATGTTGGCCATGAACCGCCTATTAGATGCAGACCAATTTCATAATGCAAACATTCGTGCTGCAAAAGCCTGCTTCTTGGACGATGACGCCAAAAAGATGCTCATTCAACACCTAGAAGAAATCAATAATAATTCCTAAGTGCCTTTTTGAGCACTGATGTTAGAAATTACGTAAAGCTATTTGTTGCTTGATTGATTCAAAATTTTTCATTGAATAATGTCAATAATAATAATAATAATAATTAATATATCGCCTCATTTAAATCGACATTATTTAATAAGGACTAAATTTAAAGCGCTCAAAATAGAAGATGGGATGAGATTTTTTAATTACTTTAGGAGACAAGGGTTTCCAACCCATTATCAAGACGAGTACCTCGATGATTGGTATGAAACTTCTGAGAGTGTCTTCTTTCATGGCGCCCATACTAATACGTTTATCAACTTAGTCCAGGAGTGAATTTAATTTAACTAGTATTTCAAGTTTCAGAAAGGGACAGGAATAGGTTGAGTTAGAATTAAAAAGTACATGTAGTAAATAATGAAGAAATATTCTTGAGGGTTCATGAGAGAAAGAGTTACTTCTGGACTGCCATCTACATTCATATCAAATTCCCAAAGACCATCGAAATAGGTGTTTACAATGGAATTGATAAACTGAAGACGATGCTGGTGTGGAATTCAATTTCTGATCCGAATTAATGACTGCGACTCGTCATCCATTTAATTGGATGCTCATCGAATGGCATCTGCCTCGTGACTCCACACTTAACAGCAGGAAATTTTGACCCCCAAAATTAACGGAGCCTAATCTTTATCAAGGAATTAAGACCTTATTAGTGAGCGCGTTCACAAAGATTGACTTTGGTTGAGCGAATTCTCCCGAATTGCTCTTAAGAGAAACTCGACTTCTGTCATCATCAAAGACAAACAGAATGTTTGGTCATCCATTCCAATGGATGAAAATCGATTTCGTGACGTAGGATTAAATAGATATGTGGATTTACTCAATATAGAACTGATTTCATTTCCAACTCCCCAACTGATATGATTTCTCCTTACTTTATTTAATTTAAACTTACATTTGTAGACAATTTCTGGCAAAAATTTCATTTTAAAATTGTAGCATCTATCCAATTGTTACAAATACATCTAGACAAGGTGAATGAGTGCCAATGCAAATGAAAGTTAATAAATTAAGAAACTCTCCGAGCACTGTGGCAGTTGTAAGACGGGAAATAAGTAGGGATCGCTAGTAGACACGAATTAAATTACACTTATATGATTCCCCTGTTGAGATTAAGATTCTTCCTCCAATAGTATAAATCCGGTCTATCACTCGCATTCTCCATTGAGACCCAAAAACTCTGGAGTCAATTTGATGATCTTCTGTTGAAACATTTGATATCATTTGCCAAACGGTGTTCTGAATGGCCTTTCCGAATTTTACAAAATACGACGGTATAAAGAGCTGCACCTATCCTTATAAACTCTCCAGCCCCTGATCATAGAACAGCTTCATTCAATCCGTGAGCATGATTAAGGATTTCCCCACATTAAATGATCTTTTTTTGAGGAAACAGCCTAGAGTCTGAAGAAAGTAAAATAGATAACACGAATTCGAGACCTGTCATTTTTTAGTAATAAGATTTTTCAGTTTGAGATGGTGCACAAGAATCGGTTTTAAATAGCACCATTCCACGCATTCGGTTTATTTGTTAAAAGTAATTGTAATCATTATTACAATTAGGGTGTAAGTTAAAGTGCGCATGCCCTTTTATTTGGTGAAACAAATGAGCGTGAAGGAATCGAATTTTTATGGTTCTCTTCGTAGATTAATCTAGAAATTGAGCTGGTGCACTATATCTTCAATTACCATTCTTCCTTTTCTATACTTAATCATGAAATTAGCTACCCTACTTACAAAGTTGTGAGTACATAGAACGTACAATGTGAAGAGTGTTTATTGCATATGTTCTGATAGCTATTAACGTTCTTAGTCATTTAATACAATCAGTGTTACTCTATGTTGCATAAAATCGATCGCTGATTGGCTTCAAGGTGTCTGTAAGCACAGGGCACCTTCAAGAAGGTTCTAAAGCACAGGAAACTCCTTTGGTCACAATCGATATCACTATGCGTTCCACAGCTACATTAATGACTAACCAGGTAGCCAGTCGATCTCTTTTTCACAATTTTCACACAAACAGCATTAAGTTTCCACAACGAATTTTCTTCCTTTCTCTTACAAACAGCAAAAGTAAGAGGCACTACGTACGAAGGACCCAGAACCTCAGAGAACGGAACTTTGCAAGATCACGTTTTGCTATATTGAGTCACAGTCATACCCGACAGGAATCTTAATCAATGTTGTATATCTGACTAATCTGTTCGGATTGAAATTCCCCTGTGATAAGTAAACCGTGTTTCTAAAAGACGTGGTATTAATCAATCTAATTTTCTCACAACCGATTATCGATATGCGGGCTGACAAAACCGAAACGATCCTGCCCTAAACCTTTCGTAAGATTAATCTCTAGATAGATGCAAACAACTTGATTCACATATACTTAAGAATATTACTACAGGTGCCATTAATAACCCTCTAATTTGACTAGGATTGAAAAAGGCAGTTTAACATCAACCGACATACATCACGTTTATTCAAAAAGGAAAACCAATGACCTTTATACATAAAAAGGACACAATCAAAAAGTACTCGACGCAGCAGCAAAATTAGCAGCAGTTTGGAGGAAGTTCTCATTGCCTCTATCAGTTTCAAACCACTGTTGAAACATGGAGAGAAAACGAGTAGAGGTGACTTCACATAAGGAGATCCAGAGCATAGTGATGAGCCAACCAGGAATGTAGTGGATACAGGTCACTAACCAACCGACAAAGGCATAGGTTTCTTTGAGGACAGCTAATTGGTCATTGGTAAGGCGATCAGTTGGAGTTCGGGAGAAGAGCCAGGCTAAGAGGATACCGTGGAGAATGTAGCGAATTACTTGAGCCACGAGACTGCTTACAAGCTGAAATGTAGATAATTTAAAACAGTTGGGAGTACAGATAACAAAACAGAAAACAATAGTGATTGACCAGGATTCTTTAGTACTTGCGAGCATTAGTACAGTGCAAAAATATCAATACCACAATAATAATTCGTGGAGAGGAAACAACCTGGAGTTATCAAAAAGGATAACTTAGAATTGCCTATACCTATGTGTAGACTTGGTTATTAGGCAATTTAGAACCGTTGAAGTAACTAGCACTACGTTTCTTTCACAAATATGGATATGCTTTGTCTTAGTATTTTATAGTATGATATGCTTTCAAATTTAAAATTCAATGAAGTGTGCAATGAATAAAATGTAAAACTAACATAAGGAGCAGTATAGAAGTCACGATTAGAATATAGAATAAACCATGCAGCCAGACGTCATAGGATCTACTCTTCGGTTCAAAACTAGTTATGTAGGTGGCTAAAACCATGGCTGACTTCATTCAGCAATTATTTAGTAAAGACAAATAGGAATGTTGAATTGGTCTACTCTTAAATAAAAATAAATTCATAAGCTATGGGATGGAAAAGGGAATTTTAGCATCCTCGACAACCTCAAAAATTTTAATAAACCAATGGAAAACCAATAAGATCATTTCATTTGAAGCAACTAATATTTCAAAAGGGATTAGAGAGCAGTAGACATCAGGTCCTCATCTATATGCGTCGAATATGTTGGAACTGGCAAAATGAAGTAATGAAAGCATACCAATACAGGTTTCGAGAACGGTAAGTTCAACGTAAAGAGGGAGGAAACAAACAAAGGATTCAAAAGTTCAAAATGGAAACATTTTAAGTAGAAAAGCGAATAACCAAAGCAAATTTTAACATGATGTCTTAATAGTAACATTATAGTCGGCAAACCAGAGAAATGAACAAATAGTGATCTCGATCATGAAAGGCAGATACCAAAACTTCAAAAGCGTTTTAGTTCCATTTCGCATTTTAAAACCAATAAATCTACGCAATTATTACTGATCAAAATGTTAAGTACCTTTTTCAAAATGACTTAGGGTGCTGTTTTGGCTAAAAGATTAATTCAAAAAAACTTACCGTAATTCCAAGCTGACTACGATCAGTCTCATTCTGGTCTCTTACGAGGGAATTGACTTTTCTTTGAAGTTTTGAATATGCGGCAAAATTATCCACCATATTGAGTTTGCTCATTTTGGACCGCAATTCAAGAAGTTCTGAATCACGCCGTTTGGAAGCTGCGCGACTAGCGCGACAGGAGGGAAGGACGTATTGAACAACTTTAGGGAGCGCAAGAGGGAGAAGAATACCAAAAAGACGAGCAAAGAAAATGCTGCCCAAACAAAGAGAGAGAAAATTAAGCCACGAAAAGTAGATATCAGATTCAGTTTTCTCGGGTATTTCCGGTTGCATTAGGTCCATTATAGAAGTCGTTGTATACCTATCAGAAAATTTGCAATAAAAAGGACAAAGTGTAGACAAAACACGAAAAGAGATGACACAAACCTCGTTTTCTAAAGCTCTGGTTAACAGTTGGGTTTCCGATATTCTGCCAATTAGAAATCTAACTTTTGAGAGACGAGTTTGGAAGCTCTTAGTAATTAAATTATAGAGTTTGGCGCTCTGTTTTCGATAATCAGAAAAGAGATCCTTGGTGGCTTCGTCTTGGACGTCGGGAGCGGTTTCTTCAGCAGGCAAAGAATTAATCAAAATTTCAATTTTCTTTGCACAATCTGCTATGCTAATGGCGTACTTGAGAGCATAATCTATGCAATTTTTTTATTAAGACGACTCCAAAAACAATACCTTCACCAGTTTGGCCTTGTAACAGTGACTGCAATTCCGGATTGGAAGCCCACTCCTTTTCTCGACGACCCTTATGATTAAGATCAGAGAAGAAACTGGGCTGAGCAAGCTGTTGAATGACTCCTATGGCGTTATAGAGATTTTCTGCTTGTAGATTTATAATGTCTTGCAACTCAGTCAAACGATCAGCCATGCGTGGCCCAATACCAACTATAACGCTTAAGTACTACTGATCTAAAAATGCTCAAAATAAAAGCAAATTTATTCACTATAATTTTATATAAAACTTTATTATAATTTATATTCCTTCTAGATTTGTAAATTAGTCGTTGTGTTAAAAATGAATTATTCCGTAATAATAATAATAATTTAATTTTTTACGTAGCTTTTTATCTATCTTTAAAGCCATATAAGAGCATGTATTTTTTAAAATTCTATATTTGAGCAAGAGAAATGTGCCGATTATAATTTCATATTCGAAACCTGTCTTTATTGCCGGGGCCATTCAAAATCTCCGATTTCGGGATGAAGCGTGTGTGTCTGTTTTTTTAATTCTATTTATTTATTTTTTATGACCATTTCTAAAATGACGTTATAGCATCTCAACCGATGTTGGATTATAATTCTCTATCCATTGGTACGCTTCAGGAGAAGCGTGATGCATACTTGAGTTTAAAGTCCCAGTATGTGAGTTTTAACTTTATAATTTCGTGCATATTTCAATCGATATTTACTGTTATTATTTGTTTCAAGGGCTAGTTTACTTCCAGACGGTGGTAAAAAACTCGATGATGCCATCGAGCGTATCAATTCCATTATCGACTGCAGGAAATCTCTACATTCACCTGAACCTCAACGAACTCCAGTTTTTAGGACACTTCGAGAAAAAACATATTCAACTATTACTGTTTCATCAATAAATGAAGAAACTAGTTGCTCTGAAGACGAAGAGCTAGATGACATTACTCTTGGCCTCGGTTCAATTGAACTAAATTGTGTGAGCTTTGAAGAGAGAAGTGAAGAAGACCTTTCCACCTTTCCAGATGACCCTCTTACACCTGAAGAAATTGACACATATCTTTTCCTGTGTAATATTCCATCTATTCGACGCTCCAATATGGCACAATGTCATCCGTTCATTTTATATCTCGGTTTTATTTCTGCGAATTCTATTTGTCTTCGAGTTATTGATTGCTTGTTAGTTTCCCAATTTTGAGCCTTTGTGCAATCTAATGTCACTTCATTTTTTAGAGAAACTAAAAATATTTTTTCTAAGTATGGTACTCCATCAGCCTGGCATTTGACATCCGACTCACCTGCAAATGTAGAAACTAAAATGACCCACAAACCAGTCATCTCTCATCCAGGGTCTGCAATATATGAACTCTGGGGTTTCGTTCGCAATGCCATGTGTGGCAGCAAAAGCTGGCCTTTGTTCCTCTTTGAATCCAATAAGAGTTCAAGGTATTTCAAGATGCTATATTGCAGCTCCAGTGTTCAACATCATTTCGGTTCAAAGAATCTACCTAGGAATATTCGATTTGCCGTATATGAACCTCCTATGTAAGTCTTTGTTTTGAATTTTTTATTCTCAGCCTGTTTGTTCGAGGCGACTCATGCCATTTTAGGAAATTATATTGAAAGATATTTATCACTAAGCTATTATTTTTAAAATGGTCGAGTTGTGTTGAGTATCCTATAAAGTATGATATTCAGAGTGTTTCGTTTTCATATGCTGTTTGGTTTAATCTTGAATTACAAGTGGGTTTTCTTAAATGCGCACCTTCATTTAATGTTCTTTTTGTTTATGAATCTCGTTCAGACTTTATGTATGGTTGTTAATCAGAATGAACTGTCATTTGATTTACTGAACTCTTTCTATAGGAGTGTTTTCAAGATAACTTAGCTAATATCACGATATCACTTCAATTTTTAGCTAATTTGTTAGATTTATAGATGCGAATAGCACTTTGAATCGTATTTTCACCAATTTCTGATATTCGTTCTCCGACTGCATTGTTTGATTTTATTCTAAATCGCTTCGTTAAAGTATATTCTGTGTATTCATATTATAATATGCATTTTGCACGTTTTACAGAAGTGAGGAATTTTCACAAGAGGAAAATATTTCACCTGGAGATTTACTTGCATTGGACGATCGTCTGACTGGGCTTGCTGAATCATGCACTAGTGAAACCATGACTTTGAGCAAGATGAAGCTAAAATCATTTTCCTGGCTAGAGGTAGGTTTGCTCTCTCAACAGTATTCCTTTTTTTCTCGTATGTGTTCGATTATTTTATTATAGTCCCCTGTCAATTACCGCGCTCTGCTCAACATCGCGAAGGTTCCTGATATTGATACCGTGACCAAACGCTCGGATTACCTTTCTGCAATCAAAATCAGCAATTGTGATAAGCTCTACGAGCCTCAAGCAACTTCAGCTCCAATTCTAAACTCCATCGATGACACCCTCCTTCGTCAACTAGCTCTTGCTGGTTTCATACCTAGGACTCTCGCTCTTTTAGCCGCTAAGGGTGGCTGGCGTTGCTTCGCTGGTATTCTCTCGGGTTTGGGAATTTCAAAAGATTCCTCTGAACCCCTTGCTGAGCTCTATCGCTGTTTCATGAAAATTAACCGGTGAGTCCGAGATATGTTTGCCACTGAAATCTATATAAGTAAAGGCTTATTTTTCGTTTCCTTTCAGTGGAATGGCAATAAATACAGATCTGTACAAAGAGGGTGCTAAAAAGGCCTCAGTCAAAAATCTCTTTAATGAATCTGGACGTAAAACAAAGACCCTGCTAGAGCCTCTACCTATTCAGCCTGAGCGACCAGAGGATAGAATAAAGATAACTTCACCACCACCCAGTGAAGAACTGTACAAGTTAGTGAACATAGTTAATTTATTATTGTCTTGTTTTCTTTTATATTTGTTAAAAAATTTTGTATGTATAGATACCGAGATGGTGCAGCTGTTGATTCAGATGACAAGTCAGATTCCGAGGCTGAAGAAGATTAGGCCTTAGCTTCGTTTATAATTTTGTAATTGTACACAAACAAATATATATGCTTGTATTTTATTTCTTTTTCTACGCAGAGTTCAAATTGGTATTAGTTAATCAGAATACTCTAGGTGGAATAGTATGCATACATATTTTAGACTTTATTGACAAGATTATAATTTTCGGCTTGTGTTTTTACTTGAGTGCCAACTGACCAAGTGACTACCCATCTTTATGCGTCTTTGTATCCATCTGTCTGCTTTTTTTCTTTTTCTACTGCGATGTATGCGCACTGTCACATTCCTATTTGTCCCAGTGGTGGTATATCTCTGTGCCTATTATATTATTGGACGGTTTCCCAACTATATGCATAAGTCTGAACTTCTTAATTGAAGGAAAACATGTTTGAATTACGGGTCCTTCTCCTTCTTGGGTGTCGGAGCAACTGGAAAAGCTGTGCAAATAACCCGACTTTTACCAGTGGCTACGCACTGTTTTATATTTGATAATAAAACATCAACAACGTGGTTAGTTATTGCGTTACCTAAGTAGATTGACTCCTCCTTAAGTGGCATTCTACGTTGGGGTTTTAAGGTCTTTTAGTTGGCAAAATCGTGTAGTAGATTTTTATCGTCTCAAGATGCTATTATTGCATAAATTCAAATTAGTGAATTGGGAAGGCCAAGGATGCAACAAATGACCCAAGAAAGATAACTTATCATTAGCTAAAAGCACTTTATAATACTGACTTTGGAATTGCTGTTGTGTTCGCGTTTAAGCTGACCTGCTTACTGTTCTCGGAATAAGTCTGTATCTTACTTTATAATATTTCTATTTCTGACTTCCGATTTCTCCCATCGTGTGTCCTTATTCAACCCTTTTCCCGTATCCGTTGTTTTACCTTTGAATGACCATAACAGATATGGTCTTGCTATAATAGCAGATGTACGTACTATTGAGTTATTACTCTTTTGTTCATATTTCTGCACCTAATCCGTAAAAGTACTAGGGAAGAAGTTTTATAATCAGACAATGAAAGAGCAGATTCCTGAGTGTGCAGTGCCAAATTTGTTCCATTTCAATTCCCTCGGTGGTGTCATGTTTGCTTCCTATTGTCTTGAATGCCTTTATTATCTCTGTTTTGTTACCGCGATTCAAGATTCGTTGATTCAAAACTATACTTTGATTGGTGGCGTTTGTCATTTAAAAGTACTGCTACAGCTCATGTCTAGACTTTGAGGTCAAAATGAGGTGCCACTTATAATGCTCATTTTCTGAGCATCAATATTACTTCATGTAAATCGGGGTGTACGATAGACTTACCTCCACGCGGTGCACCCTGGGCAACGTATATTCATGCGGCAAAAAATTCTATTAACTGGCAGTTGATTTCTCACTTCAAACTACCATCACCCCACTCTATGCCATATTCGACTACTTTCACAGTACTCACCTCACCTTTTTTCTACCTTTGTGTTTGTCTCTTAAATCTTTGAAACTCTCTTCTGTCCCCCCGCCCTCTCGATTTTTTTTCAATTTGATGTTCCCCTCTGTGAAGCCTGCAGTCAACTAAAGGGCTAATGATAACAATCAAGACGCCTGCCATTTGATATAAATAAATTTCATGTAAATCACTAATGCCATATAGCAAACGATAACAATAATTCAAACCAAAATGCATCGTTCATGGTTAACAACTTCAATCAGATTTTTTGCCAATTTCTTGATCAATTATATCAGAGAAGGTAAAT